ACAAAAAAAGCCTAAATGAGCCTAACATCACAAAAGGAGGGAGGGTGGAGTTACTGACCAGCAAGCATTGATGGTGGGGGCGATAACTTCAATCCACCCGTGTTTGTGGGGACAGAACATTTTGTATGTATCAGGCTCTTTATAATTGAGAATAAGACAGTCAATCTAAGATATAGATTGTCTTCCTACGCTCACCACTTAGACTCACGTTTCCGATATTATGCTGGATTAGCTATTCTACTAAGACAACCTATAACATACCAACTCGGACTTTTACACTAGGATTGTGTGGCTGGCATCGGATAGAAAAAAAAGAAAAAAAAGATTACAAAAGATATAGTCATTAGTATTCTTAACACTTCACCCTCTATATACACACCCTTCTAATAAACCGCTTCCTTTGTACCAACCTTGACTTCCCTTCCTTCATGTGAGCTTACTCCAACTTGTTAAACATCACAACTCATTGTTCTTTATTAGTACATTCTCTAATATGGAGGCTCTGACTTAACTTCACTCTAACAAGACATTATATGAATTTATTTTAATTTATTATACCTCTGTCCGTTCTACTACACAATGTTAAGCAACCTTTGGCGTTCATATCCAAGTGCCTTGCTGCTCTTCTGTTTCTCTTTTTTTCTCCTTCAGAATCTTGCTCTGAGAGCACAGCTATGAAACTTCTGACGTTTGGAACAAACTCGACGTACGCGTCCTCTTAAGGTCATAGTTTACAGCAAGCGCTCTACGATTTCACTTTATAACAACTATAAACTTAATAAGTTGGGAAGCATTTTGCGAACCAACAAATGTTGTAATTTAAAGACCATGCCTGTAAAAACGGTGTGTACCTGCAGATGCAGAAATATATTATTATTATTATAGTATGCTCTAACTACGTCGATCTTCGAGAAGACAGTAGCGCCTTCTATACTGTAGGTAAAATCGTGGGTGTGTGGTATAGGATATCTAACGGCTACCGTTCGATTGTTGAGTGCTCGTTGGTCTCCCCATGGCCTAACGCCTTCATTCTTTTTCGGGGCCATATGTATTGAGGATGCCCACGAGCTGTTAGAAGACCTTACAATGCCCAGCCTTATCAACTTGTCGAATTCCTGCTTTGCAAGTGCTAGTCTTTTTCATAAGTCTTGAGATCTGAACGCTATATCCGTTTTCTAAGCTATTCTGGTAACCCGCAAGCTAGAACTACACAGCGACCTGAACGCCCGAGAGAAGAAGCAAAGTATGAGAGAAATACTTTACTCCAAGGTTCCTTTTTGTACAGAAAACATGGGTGTTTATCGATGTTAACGTTTGTTAAATCGACATCAAATTTCGGCCAATCCGTTAGCGACACATTATACTACTGACCAATAATAGCACGCCACGTTGGAATTCTACAATGCTCCACCATGCCCTGATTGGCTAGGACTCTTCGGCTCCTTTTGGGCCTCTGGAGGCTCCGTTGAAGTTCTCTGAAAGCCGACTCAACACTTTTTGGGTCTAATCTTCTTGGTCTTGCATTAATTGTTGGCCCATTCATTATGATATGGTGCTGAATGGAATGTTTGAGATCCACCTTACTGTATGTTACTTTTACGAGTTCGGGAAATTCCTTTAACTACAATTTATATGGATCACCGCGGCTTTTATGTTCCACTAGATTCATGGAAACGGCTTCTGTGAGTGTTCCTCTTATCGAAGTGGTGTGACTACCATTTATATGTACGTGACAACGCGAGTCTACTAGCGATGCCTATTATGGGCACTGATAGATCTGCTATGACAAAGTCCCAGCGGTACGAAGCGCCTCGTCCGAAGTCTAAGGACAACTTTCGTTTGCCTTATGTCTTAACATCCGATTTGTTCGCCGCTCTTAGTTCTAGTGAATCATTAACGTTTCTTCTCTCCTCGCCTACTGGAGATATTACGCTGATTTCCGCTCCAGTATCAACTAAGAATTGCGCGCCTGTCGTTCCGTCTTGTATATAAAACAGGCGACTATATGCAGGCATCATGTTCTTTGATGCCGTCGCCATGGTTAATCGTGGGTATCGCTTACCTGTTACGCTAAATCTACAAAGCTGCAGACACTTCCTAGCGCTGTAGCCGTACTTTTGACGATACCACCATATCAAGGGAGCTGTGCGCCGTCTAGAAGCTGGTCGGTTTTTGTCGCGCGAGAGATCTCGTGATAATCGTCGTGACCTTTTGCTATATGTTAATTCAGTGAGCTTGCGGCACAAAACATTTTCCTCTTTCTGTAGAGCACTAATTCTATCATCTGTCGTCACGCTGTGTAACGCAGAGCTTGTTTGCTTGGTTCTTTCGTATATTTTATAGGCTATTTTTGCTGTGTTGTCTATATCAGCGTCCGTATCTCCGACGGCTAGGATCTGCTGCACATCTGGCGGAAGTAGGAGAAGCCACAGTTGATAAAACAGGTTATTGTCTGTTTACCTATCGCCCAGCAGACTTTTCATACACGTTTTTAGCTGTGACGGAGTTCTATCCCCTATTTGTACTCGGTTAAGAAGCTGTTAAACAGCTTGTTGACCAGTTAGAGAGAGAGAGAGAGTTGTAATTACTGCTTGCTTTAGCATGTCGTATGCCGCTTCAGTGTCCGGTTTAGCTGACGCCTCTCGTACGCTATCTGCTACTTCATCTGGAAGGATTTATCTCTTTGTGAGTAAATGCGGTTAGCCAGAAAATAACTTTCAAGTCTAATAAACCAAAGCTTTGGGTCGGTGACTTTAAAAGAGGGGGTAGGAAGATTAATAGACCTCACGGACGGGGTTTGCTGTAAACTCGACACAGTGTTTTCGGAAGACATGTTTATAAAAAAATTTAATTAGTACACGAATATAATGTAACAGTCACAAAGAAAAATGGACGGACAAAAACAATGATAATAACAAATGGCACAATTTATAACATAGAACAGACTTACTAAATTGCACCAATATATCAATTGTTTGTGAATAATCGTTGCTTACTATAATTATTATCGTCACGTCCAGTAATGTTTGTGAAATAATGTACGTGTAATTAAAATAGTAATATAATAGATCCTTAGTTACGATTATAGTCCATGTGATAATCCGGATCGAGACGATGTACGTTGGATTTTCGTAATTTGACTATATCGTCCAAAGCCGTTTCCTGGCCGCACGTCGGGGTTACCAGTTCTGTAGTGGTTGTATTATTATTATTATTATAAGCTTTATTCAATATTATATTTTCGGTACAATATAGAATTCTCAGCACAAAGTATTTCAACAAGTTTCCGTTTCTTTCTTCTGGGTCGATCCTGACGATAAATATTGAGTGATAGCCAGTTAGATGTTAGCAGTCCAGTAAATAAACATCTGAATAATGTATATTCTTTTCTCTGCATATTGCCAGCGATCACATTATCTCTTATTGAGCTTTTAGTAACTTTGACAACGAAAGGTTGTAAAATTTTCAGAAATGCACAAGGATGGGTTATGCGATTAATATACATAATGATATATTAAAACAAACAAAAATAGATAACTTGTTGAAATATTTAGATGACAGGAACAGGTAGCCCAGATGCTCAAGCAGGCCGCCCAATCACCCTCGTGCCCGTTATCATATAATCCTCAAAGGTGTTTGAAATCAGAAGGCAAAGAAAATCAGAGACTACAGTTTTATTAGCAGATAACTCAGACCACAAAGCAGAGAGGCAGGAAGCACAACATATGGGACTGCGTTAGTAGAGAACAAAAACAGGCCATTGATTATTGGGAAACAAATTCGTTAACTGTAGTTCAGAATGTGCTATTAACATTCATGCAAGATGACGAATGTCCCAAAATCATTGATTGTCAGACGTGTACTCTAACCTCGAATAAAACGCTGTGTTGCGAAAATTGTCAGTCTCTAGAAGCATGTGGGGCTTCTCACACTCACATTCTTTACGTAACTTGTTATTATAGACCTTAAAACAAAACCGTTCAGTCTATGGTTTTGTAGCGTGACGTCGAGTTGAGATTAACTATGAACACCGCTACCAAGAAACACGTGCCAAGTAAATCAGAAGGCGAAGGTTGAACGTAACCAAATAAATCCATAAAATCCCCGAGAAGCCAAATATCAGAAGGCAGTTAATGGACCAAGTCGAGATATATTTGCTGGCGATCTCGTGGTATCGAAAGGATACCGAGATCGTGCCAGGATACAAGCTTGGTTACAGAATGTAACCGAATTCGCGCGAAGTCACAATCAAAGCGTAAGAATAAGAATAGAAGCACAATATATATCTGTCATTAGCACAGTCAAACAAAAGCACGTTGAAACAAACACTGGTACAGTTGGTTATAATAATAATTGTTTTTATTAAACCAGTCGTTTTCTCGTGATAAATGTGAGTCACTAAAGTTTCTAGAAAATACAACACAGAAGCAACCAGGCTATTTACATTTAAGTAGACAGAATACTTAGCTTAAGTTGTTAGCGACCACCTTTGTAGTCTTCAAACATTAACCGACTACATAAACATACCAACACCTGCGAACCATTTTAGCATACACACACATCAGACCTGTTGAATTTTGGTCTACTCCGATATTAGTGCTGCTCTAGTAATAGACCTAATCCTAAAATTGTATATTTGCCATCACCAATATATGATGGAGAAAAAACTTAGGCTAGAGATGGAACAATATATTTAATATAAATAAAAGATATATGACAACACTCAAGAGTGACCACGCCTGCAAGGCCGAGCCATGCCATCTGACCAATTCAAATTAATTGGACTCATTCTTCCCGCCTTCAGCATCGTTGGATTTTTCTCCACGTTAAATGCTGAATATCTATTTCCCCAGCTTTGAGGATTATGTGGTTAGGGCCAGATACTACTACAGACCTCAAGCACTCCAAATACAGGATCCCCGTCGTTAGTCAAGCCCTTCAAGGTTGTGGAGGTTAATTCGCTCTCAGGTTTGAAGGCCGGTCACCGTTCGTGCTTGTTGATGGCGGATGAGGCGTTTGTCATAACAGATCAGGAAAGACTTGATCGCCTGAATAATGAAGCCAGAGAGAAAAGGAACAGAGATATACCCTTTACTCCAGACATTTCTCAGCCATTTTATAACTTTGTTGAAAAAATTTTTGGAACTGAGAAACCTTACGAGGCTGGTTAGTACTAATTGTTATCTTCGTGAAAATGTTGTTCTAGGACATGGGTTCCCTTTAACTTACGCATCTGGAGGAAACTTTCTCCACCGCCCTTTCCTAGATTTCCCCGCCTTACAGATGGGCACATCATGGTTCACGATGCAGAATGTTTTTAGTTCAAGATTTTGCCAAATCATGGAGCGTGACTTCTTCCGGTAATTATATCTCGAACACTTTTCTCAGATCTTAAAGCTGTGTTGCAAGAGTTGGCCTTCAAAATACAGACAAGCATTGCAAAATATACTGGGAAGATTTGCTTGAATGTCAGAACCATGATAAAGCTGTAAGTTGTTTTTTTATTTATAGTAATTCCTCTCCATAGAAAAAAAGAGCTGTTATGATGAAAAAAGTTAGAGAGGTAAAGAAAATGGAGCCAATGGCCACTCTGCCGTACAGCGCATTTAAAGACCCCGACTTCTGATGACAATTGACTTTCCATGTTCATTTCCAGTGATATTTATGAATGAAAGTTTGTTTTATTAGTGTAGATCTACGTCCTCAATCTGTGACTAGTAAAATCTTGTTTGCTTCCCGTACTGTTTGTTCAACAATAAATCAATTTAGCTCTCGAAGTAGTCTGAATAATACATATGTACACAAGGTTTTCGCATTCAGCTTACAAAAAACAATTCATCGTAAAGCTTCTAAGCTGTTGCATAGAACAAGAAATTCTCAGCCAATTGTCGTAGTCTGCTTTTCAACCATATCGACAATATAATCTTGGCTACAGTTCGATTATCCAAAGTTCTGAAATGCAAATGTCGGAAACCTAATGGGCTAACTGGCTGTCCGACCGAGTTTCCAGTGTAGTCTTGTCGGCCTTCAAAAAGAATGGGGGACCCTTATCTTTCAGCATTAAGATTTTACCATGAAAATTGAACTCACTAGAGATGCTTTCGCTATTCACAACATGACCTAAAAAGTGTTTTTTAGTTTTTTTTTATAACTTAACGGACATCGTTAATTGACGAAATTAGAGTCGTACCCCCTGATACGTTGTTTTATGATACCGTGATTCATGTAGCATATAACATTAGACTATGAAAATATCGGTTGCCAAATAGCCGTGTTAGTAAATTCAGACTATCTTATTTAAGTTCTCAAGACAACTGCGATCACTTGTCAAAGATAATGTCTAACATGGCTTAGAATTACTGCTTATACGCTTACTACCTTTACCACTACGGGATTTGAATCGACAATTGTATCTGTGTGCTAATGCATTATGGCAACTCGAACTGATGTACGTACGTAAGAAGTTCTGCGTTGTTACTGACTGACTGAGAATAAATTTTGATTGCGTAGATGTATTTACTCTTCGCATTCATGTCTTCTCGTACTTTTTGTCTATCAGCATCATCTCTTTTAAAACTATTCTTTAGTATTTAGCTCTTCTCATTATCAGTGATAATACCATTATTTCGGGTCTTTCACTATTTCGTGATTTTCACTTTGCTGTGCTGATTTGGTCATGAGACGTGGACCTACTTGGATTTGTACCAAGCTCTGTGTCCGTCATAACTGACTAACTTCGATGCATTCATGAAGAAGGACGAGACATTCTTTATGCTCTGTTTATCATTCTAGTTTGAACTATAAGTACGCATGAGTAAAGCATTTAATAGTCTTATTTATATAGATTGTTTTTGCAGGTAAAAATATTAGTCTTCGTATTTTTTTCATCGCATAACCAGATACCTTGTTTTTAATTACTAAGTTGACTATTTGCAGATCTCCCAGGTCGAATTAAGCAGCTCACTTGTACCTCGTTAAAATAAGCTTGGATCCAAATACGTAGGCTGCAAAGCCTCAAAATTACTTTTAATCATCAAACATGCCAGACAATCCCACATTTATATTTAAATTGGTTGTCGATATTTCGGTATAATTATAGTCATGATTATAAGGCGTCGATTGCATGGGCATAGTACTACCTAGGCTGTTTAAGTTTTTCCCTTCTGTTGCATCGGTGCTTTACTTCCTAACTTGTGTTCGTGTTTAATTACTGTAGTGTCAGTTTATGGTACACCCCGAACCATCAGTTGGTTCTTATTATGACGTTTCTACGTGTAACACAAAACAAAATGCGTCTTTTTATTTACATTAAAGTTTCTGCAGATAAATCTAGGAAATTTCATGTTTTATTTATGGGAAATTGACAACTATTTAGGAAATGAAATATCCGGATTATACATTAACCATTATTTCGACTTATGTCTAGTAAAGGGGGTTATTGGGGATTTGTTTGATTTTTGAGTGGTATTCGTCACAGATTGACTTACGTTGTGCTACCATTAAAGACCATAAAGAACTGATTAACTGTTTTGTTCTGGTTTCATCCTCAAAAGTAGAGACCCATAACCCACTCAGGCATCAAATTTAGAACCTACAAGTCTCTTTGAGAGGCTTTGAACACTAATTCACTTAATTGGCATCCAGTGGCAGACGTTTTTTTTTCGGCTTCATGATATGACTCGACGATATCTAGTGATTAACACCAGGTAAAAACACAGTCACATATGGGTGTCCAGACCAGTATATTTGGATTTTTTAGTACATAAGACTGTTTGGTCGCGTACAAAAACTATGACATGCATACAAGTCGTTAGTGAAGATAACAGGAATGTGGTGCGAAGTACATAGTAATTAACTTGGACTTCATTACATTCAGAAATGTAAGACATGACGCGTCTTCTACAGATGTAGTTAATGCTGGATGAACTAGATCACAGAAATTAAAATCAAGAGTGTAACCCAACAACTCTTGTAACTTCTAGATGAGTGCTTTAAGTTTTAGCAAGAAATAGCCAGTAGAATCCAGACATGGAGTGATACAGTCATTATCAATGGCATTAGATGATCGTCGGTTTATATCACCGAATGATTAGAACTGAGATTTTGTTTCATTAATCGAATGTTTAGGCGTTCGCCTCGAGGCCTGTAGATCTTGAATACAGTCACTGGAGAGAGGGTCATAGGCGACACTCGAGGAGTCCTATACTAGGACGAAGCGGCTATCTAGTGTTTCTTGAATTCTAACGGTATCTCACCTGAGGTTGTTTTGGGCTTAACCCCCCCTACACATTGTAGCAATCTCCGCTAAACATAGGTCTTAAAATTGTTTAAGTATGTGTGGCAAGTTGATCATGAGGACATGGTCAGACTACCCATTTTCTCAAAATGTCTTTAAGATTTGGAAGCAAATACAAGTGGTGCCGTCAAATCGCTTAGTTGATTCAGAGATTGCTATATAAACTTAAGGCCGATATACTTACCTCATACACCAATCCACTGATTTATACCGAAAAGCAATGAAATGTAAAGATTAATACAATTAGGTGTAAACAAGCATTTGTTGGATCAGTATCCGGACGGTTCAGTCACTTAACGTCCAGACATCGCTTGAAGTGATCTAAGTAGCTAATAATTACCTCGTTGACGTAAATGAATCATTTAGTAGATAGTATGTGATTTTGAATAACTTGTCTCAAGTAATGGTGGTTCTTGCGTTTTGAAAGCAATCAATCCTACAAATACAAAGTAAAAAGGCTTACGCTAAATAAGAAAATATTAGCAAGTAGGTCACCGGAAAAACAGGCGGCACGAATTACAATGAAGATATCGTGGTATGAATCTATAAATAATTATCAGTGACAACTCAAAAAGCTTCCGAGAATATATCTATCTTATTACCTTTGGAAAAAAGTTAAAGATCTGGGTTGTTTCCTTGAGTTTGTTACTACTAAACTCCAACGTAAAACCGAATAACTACTCGATCCGATCTTTTTGTTCAACGGAAACGTTCATATTTCAGTACGACGATGAATGTGATTACGTTATCTTGAAGGTATCAGTCTTGATGATATCTGGAAGTAGTATAAGGTTTTATGCTGAGCCTTATTTTCGATTCACTAGTCAGGATCAGTGGATTTCAGGAGTGGCGGGGGCAAAATGTCACCAGTAAATGGCCGTCTGATAATATCACTAATTGATTAGAATTGGAAGTGTGTGCCATCGGATACCAACCTAGTGCTCTTGTAATTAAAGGCTCTCTGGGAAACTTTCAGGTCTTGAATTGGACTCCTGGGGAGGTGTGTGTATATATACACTGCTGGTGAGTTTCATACGAGGTTAGAACACCCCTGGTGCCTCATGGTATCCAAACTGAGATCATTCTTTGACGAATGCTACTTATAGTAACATTGTAAGAGTGGTATTTTATTCAGTTGTCTCTTAACATGTCCTGTTGATACTGTCATCTACTGTGTGCTGGGGACTGAATAATATGGCTATTGTGCGAGTTTTTGTTTTAAGATTCCAAGTAACAAATGTATGAGAATGAGAACTTCATAACAGAAATCTAGTAGGAATATTATTTATGAGTACACTTGAATGTCCACAAACCAGGATATACGTACTAACATTATCCTGAGTAAATTTTCCGGGAATCGGTGACAGAATTGGTTCATTGTTAGAGCTAGATTCATATTACGTAATTGAGTTTCAGGTCAGTTTTGAAGCGTCAGCTGTTACAATTGAGCGGCTATAGCAAAAGTTGTAACTTTTGGGATTGTCGTACGAAGGGTTAGTTTATATTCTTATTGTATAATTATTGGGCACTTAGATTATTGTTTTCTCATATTCTCCCGTTAGTCAGCATTTGCTGAGTGCATAAACTAATCTTTCACGTTGTACTTTCCATAAATTACTGTTAATTTGTTACGGAACTATTATTCAGTTTTCTTTCACGTAGTTTTACCCCCCTCCAAATGCCCTGATATGGCCGAGAGTGGGGTGGTCCCACACTCCCTCTCGAAGTGCTCTCACACGAAAACGCGTATACAGCCTCTGCCAGGGAAGTCCTACTCACTGCCATCTCGTGGCGTGGGTGTTGTTTACGAAAATGAGAGGACGAAAGGCGACTGTTCAGCGCTTTAACCGGATTCCAAACCAATGGTGCATATGGGCTCCAGTATCCTGGGGGAACAAATGGCGTATGGACCAAGTGTTGGTCACCGGCTACCATGGGACTGCATCTCCTCACGATGCTCCACCGCCTTATTGGTCAGACTTTTGGGTCAAAGGCTCGGGGAGTGGCCCCCCAAGAAAACCACCTGGTTCGGTCTGGGCACCCGAGCAGTATCACAGCCCACACACAAATAAACTGAAAATGACAATATTTGCTGAAAATTCTATTCACGCTTCGATTAACAGTCAAACAATTCACATTATTATTCTTATTATTCTTATTATTATTTACCACGTCACTTATTCACTCTCTTTTATTCCCACTTTGTGTATCCTTACTTTTCGACCTATACAGCAGCTCGCTTATGGTGGAAACTTGGTTCTATCTAAACGTTCTCAAGTCACTGCCTGGTTGAAAATTGTATGCTACCAACAAATACGAATACTGAAGCA